ACAACACACGTTCACTATATCTCTTCAGGGACAAAGCCCTGCAAAACTCCTGAAATAATTTCTGTTCTAATATAGCAATATTGGGCAATAACAATAATTAATTAATTTTATGACCAATATCTCATACCAATATATTGTAGATACCACAATCTGCTGATTAAATTATTTATCACTTCGAGTGAAGTATAGAAACCTTTACTCTATACTCTACCTATCTCCCATTAAACAAATATATTCTAATATACTATAATATGATCCACGATAGAGTGCTGTTAAGTTAACTATTCATCATATGATTTAATTTAAAACTCAAGAAAAGTAGGTATTATCTATCTATACTTATCCACGTCTTACCCATTCTTCGGGTCTTTCCTTCCTGAAGTTCTAAGCCGCCTTCTGTTATCTTTTCCTTTCTGCTTAGAGTGCTGTCATTGTAGACACTCTTAAGATAGGTTTCGCTAGGCAACCACATTCTTAGTTTTCCCTCATCTGAGAATGCGTCTATATCTTAGTCCATTTGTATTTGCATAAAGGGAATTACCGGAGTCTGCGGTAATTTATAAAGAAAATGGAGGTTTTCCGGCTTCACAGTTCTGTGGGGCTGGTACAAAGTAGCACAGAGACAGGTATCTGCTTCTTGTGAAGGCGTCAGACCCCGCCCCCCCCCAGTTCCGACCTATGACATGGAGATGAAGGGAAGCCAGTGTGTGCAGAGAGACTCACATGGCAAGAGGATGCAAGAGAGCAGGGAGGTTCAGGCTCTTTTTTAACAAACCCAGCTTCTAAAGCAGGAAGCTAATGATTAATGAACTTACTAATTACCGATGAGGATTAACACCAAGCCATTCATTGAGGAACTCCCCATGACCCAAAACACCTGCCTGTTCAGCACCACCTCCAACATTGGGTCAATGTTCAACATGACGGTGGTGTTTGAGGAGAAACAAACATCCAAACTATAGCACTCTATATTGTTCTTCATTCCTGTGAGGATATTTTCACTTAGTGGTATAGAATTCCACAGCTGGACAATTTGCTTCTTTAGCACTTAAAATATGCTGTGCCACTTTCTTCTGACCTCCATGGTTGTCAAAGGAGAAATAGTCATTTGAATTGATTTTCTCCTATAAGTAATGTTTTCATTTGTCTCTGGCTTGCTTCTAAGATTTTTCTTTGTCATTTAGTTTTCAGAAGTTATATATACTAGTAGTATATACGTATTATATATATATATATATTTATATATATAATATATATATATAATGGAGACACAAGTACAACATTCCGTGACAAGCAGGTATAGGTCTCAGTCCTTCATATATTTTCAATCAAGTGGAGCTGTTGGGGCAGTTGAGTATGTTTACTCACTGTTGTATCACTATACTCCATCTGTCAGCACCTTACCATTTCTGGCACACCTAGGCAGCACGTCAATAAACTCGTTAGCTTGACTGAATGACGGCGACAGGCAGAAGAAGAACTCTAGAAAACCAGAGAGTAAAAGAAGACAGGGCAAGAGAGATTCATGGGCCAAGACAGGAAAGAGAAAGACGAGAGAGGAAGGCATTGAACCCTTGAAGACAACAAAAGTGTCCTGTGTGGGAGCTGGCATGGAGGGCCGCAGCGTCATAAAAGGGGTAGAGTAAAAAAACCAGCCCTCTTAGCCCTAATAAAAAGCTACTCACAGAACATTTGTCAAACTGACATCATAACCACAAGCAGCCAATCCATGGATACACTTGATACATGGTTGGTTTAGCTTAAATGTCGCCGGATTGGTTTCGAGACGATACAAAAATCCCAACCGTGGTCCTCTATACCCAGACTTTGTGGACCACTTTCCCAACTCTGAGGCGCTGACAGCCTCACCGTCGCGATGCGCGTCCAGGAAGGCACGTGGTCACTGCTCCTCTGCCCCCAACGCAGCCCCCCTGACTCGACCGGTGACGCTCAGATTGGCGACGCGTGTCACGCCCGTTGTGGCACATCTCAGCTTTCCAGCCTGGAGCACAGCATGTGAGAGGGTCCTGTCCTGGGGGACAGGTTACCCTGGTAACCCATGGCCTTGGCGCAGGCCAGACGCTGATCAGGGCACGAGGGCCAAGATAACGGGTGTGTGTGAAGAGAAGAAACCCGAAACAGCCTTCGACTCCAGCCCCCCAGCCCCCAGCCCTCTGGGGGGCTGGGACGGGTGGCCGATGGAGCTGTACCTCAGGAACTGCTTATAAGACTGGTCGGAAGCCGCGCCAAAAAGCGGCGCCAGGCAACCTAAATGCCATACAAGGAACACTGTGGCACCGTGAGTGGCGGCAGTCCCTCTCTTCCCCCTTTCTGGCCCCAGTGGGGTCTGGAGTGGGCAGGGCAACACGGGGCGGAGATCTCGGTGAGGGCGGAGGGAACGGGCGTGTCCTTGACTGTCTCACTCCGGGTCCCCAGAGGTGGCTGGGCTGACACTGGCCCCACTGGGCAGGGTGGCCTTGGCGGAGCCATGAGATAGTTCTGTGACCCAGGGAAGCCAGGAGGTCTTCCAGGCTGGTCAGCCGGCCAGGCCAACTGCAGGGTTCCTTCAGCCGCTGAAGGGTTAGTCTTTTGATTTATCTGGAGGGTATTAGCCCATGTGAAGTGGGAGTAGATTGGTCTAACTAAATTGAATAGCTTCCTGGACTGACTTTCAATTGTATCTGACAGAGCACAAAGGAAAACCCTTTCCATGAGCGTGCTTGGGCATCTCACCTACTGGATCTGCCTCTTGGGGTCAAACTGCGGTTATTCCAGGAAATTGCAATAGTGTATTCTATACTACAAATATAAGTGAAAAGGTAAAACTGCTTTTTAATAGTGCTTACGTGATTTTCCGTTACCCTGTTCAGCTTGCTGTGTAAACTTTGCTATGATTGTTTTATGTTACTTCAATGTCGACACACCACGAGTGCAGTTAAACGATTCAAAGGCGTTTAAGCTTCTAAACCCACTTTACATGATCATTAAGTAGAACGGCCTCTCCATGGATGCTCCCAGCCACCAAATCCAGCCTTATCTCACAAACCAGAGCCTTCACTCTGACAGGTTGGGGTCTCTTCTGCCCACCCACACATATCATGATGATCTTACCTCTGTGCCTCTGCTCCATTCTGGCTCCTAAAATGCCTGGCATGCACTGTCCTCCTCTCCTTCTCCAAAAGTTTATTTCAATGGTCTGTGTCTAGGAATTGGGACTGAAGTTGGAGTTACAGCTCAGATTGAACACAGCGTTCACAAATTGGGGATGGTCTGCAGGCACCATACATCCTTAAGACAGGTTCTGGAGGACAGAGGAAGATGAAAGGCAGTTAGGTTTACCCAAAATCAGTCCATTGTCTGTATTCCCTCACTTCAGATTCTTGTTGCATGCTTTCGATTGTCAATGAAATTCCTAGTAATTTCAAAAAATTGATGTTTAAAAGTGTGATTTTATTCATCTTATACTTTGTAATACTTTTGAATCTGTTTGCAGCTTTATCAACCTTCTTATGCGTTTTTAATTTGACTGATCCTTACTGCCGACTTTTGGAAACGCAGCTATAAAAGTCTGACATGAACTCCACCATTTTTAAAAACATACTATAAGCGAAAAATATCCTCAGGATTAAAAATGGTACATCACCACAATAATAAAGTACCGTGTGAAGCCTACTTCCTGTGTAACCAGCCAAAAACCTACGCATTTCTTAGAGTGCGTTGCTTCTGTATGTAACTTTGAGTCGTGTGTCAACTTTTGTTCAGCAATTAGAGGTACCTAAAATTAAAAACTCAATAATTACTCAGTATTTGGGCCAAGAAAAAATGCAGCTGTTTTCTCTACATAAAAAAAAAAGCTATTGTTCCTACGCTGACCTTTTTCTTTTTCTTTTTTTTTTTTTTTGAGACAGAGTCTCGCTTTGTTGGCCAGCTAGAGTGAGTGCCTGGCGTCAGCCTAGCTCACAGCAACCGCAAACTCCTGGGCTGCAATGCAATCCTGCGCCTCAGCCTCCCGTAGCTGGATACTGCAGTGATGACCACCATGCCTGGCTAATTTTTTCTAAATATATTAGTTGGCCAATTAATTTATTTCTATTTATGGTAGAGACGGGGTCTCGCTCTTGCTCAGGATGGTGTCAAACTCCTGAACTCGAGCAATCCGCCTGCCTCGGCCTCCCAGAGTGCTAGGATTACAGGCATTAATCCAGAGTGCTAGGATTACAAATGGTTGCACCCAGCCAACCATTTTTCTTTTATTGCAACAAATATAATTACCAAATAATTTGGGTCTATAAGGACGGACACACACACCCTTATTTATTTTCCCCAAATATATTGTAGTGTTTTCCCCCCTGGTTCTAAAAATAATGATGTCATTTTATACTTGTCAAAAAATATTTCCTATACCCTTTGAGCAAACTAGAGACAAAGGGGGAAACTAGCAAAATACAACTTGATAGAGTAAATGCTTTGGGGAGTTAAACATCATTACTATATTAGTGTTTTAATGAAAAACTGATTGGGAATGGTAAATTCCTAATTATGATGTTAATGAAATAATATTTGGATACAAATTCCATTCTTCTAAGTGAAGTATTGTGAGAATGGAAAAGCAAACACCACATGTACTCGCTATGCAATTGGAACTAATTGATCAACACTCACGTGCACACATGAAAGTAAAACTCAGCAGTAATCAAGCAGGTGGAAGGGGGGAGAGGGGCAGGAGGAGGAGGGGATGGGTGAAATCATACCTAATGGGTACACTGTACACTATCTCGGTGATGGGCACACTTATAACTTTGATGTAAACTGTACAAAAACAATTCATGTAACTAAAACATTTGTATCCACATAATATTCTGAAATTTAAAAAATAAGAAATTGATCCCAAATTGTTACTATTGTTACTATAATGAATGTTTTTTTTTTTACTTTCTTCTCTGTAAAGTGTTATGATCATTACAACTTCGTACTTATATTTTTTGTTTTTGTTTTTGTAGGTTATATGTTCCTTGAAGGAACTGAATAAGTACAGGCATTATCTGAGCAGTTTAAAAGTAGACTTTGAAAGAAACTATATAAAAGAACAAGTAAGTTAAATACTTACATTTGTTTTATTTGGGGCCTGTAACAAAATTTTTATGTAAGGTTTGGTCCTATGCAGAATATTTTCTTATAATATTCTGTCCTAGAAGTATTAATAACAAATCAAATCAAATTTCTATAAGAGATCTATAAAAGATAAAATGAGACACTTGCCTTTCATTTAGAGAGAAAAATTTTCACTTGTCTGGAATGGAGCCACACTAGACTTAAATGCAGGCTAACTGAATTAGCCATTTGCAGAGTACAGGATGTTTACTAAGCCTGAAACATAAGAAGGCATATCAAATGACAGGTCTATTTCTGGGAAACAAAAAAACCACTAAATCTTTTTTTCTTTCAGAAAATGATTGAAAAACAAGTAAAGAAATTATATGAAACCAAGAGAGCTAATGAAAGTTATAATGTTGCTCGATTCCAAAAATGGTTATTACAGGAAAGTACACGAACAACTCCAGTGCAAGAACGGTTAGTAAAACACAGGAATGATCAAAATTAATGCATATTTCATGGAGACATTGTGCATCCCTATAGTCTTCAATGTGGAGACAAAGAAAGGTATATCAAGAGATTCAGGGATTGGGAACCTTGGTACCAAGGCTAGAGAGGAGCATTTCTACCTGAGAAACTGCAGCCTCTAGGAGCCCAAGAGGTAGGCCAAAGTGCCATCTGAAAAAGAAATCCAAAGCACAAACTCCTGATCTTGGGAAACCCAAGTCCATAGCGGCAGAAGGAGACACAAGTGTCTTTAGCCCATGTTTCAAATTTAAGTTTAAGGAAATTACTGCAAAGTCAGAAAACGAGGGTTCCTATACCTCTGTGATGCTAGTGTAAACCTGTGTCATTCCCAACCAAGTGTGTATGATTATTCAACTGTTACCCACATACATTCAATGTTACCATTCAGAGGCCAATCCCATGCCTCGGGATGTAAAGGGATGAGTTCTAGTTCTCTTTCTCCTTTATCAGGCCTGAGTACCAGTTCCCCATCACCTGGCTCTTACAGTGCATGGATTCATCTCCCATGTTTAGGGACTTGGGAACTGCAGAGAGACGAGTACCCATTTATTTTTCAAAAGAAATTCAAATCTGCTAGTTTTTTGAAGTCAGTCCTTCAGTTGATTTCAGCCATCTTGGGAAACTCATGTTCCCCAAACTACTTGAGTTATCAATAATTTCTGTATAAAATACTTTTGATCACTTTATTCCATATTTTGCCATTGTCCCAGCCACAGTAACAGAGAATTGTATAACAGGGACTAGTAAAACAAGTACAGCATGGTCAGTTGATGGATCAGGCTAGCTTAAAGGTCCCTGAATACCTCTAAATTTCCTGTAGTTCAAGAAATAAAAAACAACCAATCAGATCTTTTGGGAATATCAAAACAGATGAAGTCATTGTAAAGGCAACACCCAGTTTACCTTCACTTTTATTTGCACTTTTACTTAGACATTTAGATACGGTTGCTAAGGAAATGGACAAGATTGAACACACTGCAGAAAAACGGAGTGCACTCCGGATGAAGGAAGAAGAAAGCCGACATCGGGACCACATAAGAAGAAAACTTCATCTCCGTAGACAAATTGAAGAGGTGAAGAATGCCACATTTTAAATATTAAGGGAACAATTATGTCTGGTTGTTTGATTGCTAAACATTTTTAGCAGTTTAACACATTACCTGAAGTCATTTCAGTTCTAAAAAATAAATAAACCCCTATTAATCTTTTATCACTATTATAATGGACAAGTTTTTATTTAAAGTAGTGAGACTGATCACCACACATTATATATCCATTACATTAGTCATACCTCATCTGCTCTTTAAAGTTTTAGAATTTAGCTCTAGTGAAAAATAATCATGCCTGAATTCTCAGTTCCCCAAATTCAGACAAGACCATTATTTGTTTGGTTTCTCTGTCAAAATACATTTAAGAGCAGCAGATTACATGTGACATACCCCTGAGTCCAGAAGAGAAAACTCTCTTGCCAGCATCCTTTTAGATCCATCCTTGGAGCCAGGCTTATGCTTGAATTAAATGTCTTAATAGCAAAATACTTTCTTTTTCCATTCCATTGCATCCCTCCAACACATTCCCAATAAAAGGCAGTAAAATAAGCCCATTCTAAAGCCAATGTGAAATTTTTCATGATGGTTCACCCAATTTCTGTTAGGCTACTTATTTAGTACAATTTGCTTATTGGTCGTAGATAGACACAATACTAAAAAAAGAAAAAAAAAATATGAAAGACAATCCATACTGACTAGTGTAACATTGTGCTCCCTAGGAATGGAAGGCAAAAGAACTGTCACTTCTAACAAAGATTGGAGAAGAAGTAAAAAGAGAAGCAAGAATTGAAGAACGACGTCAAAAATTCCGAGAAGAAACTAACCGGAAGGTACAGTGAGCTTTCACCAATGACTTGAGCTGTTTGAGAAAAGACTTTTGCCATTTTTTATATTTTAAAATGTGAATTGTCAGAAGTGGCCTAAACTCATGAGGATAGCTATTGATGGAGAGACCCAGCCCTGCCTAAACCTATAATTCAAGGACTGGTCTGAAATGAGACTACTCTTCACAAAGTGAGAAATGAGGTCAATTGGATCTCGTTATTAACATTTATTTTTCTTCATGCTGGACCACAAAAGGAAACTTACCTCTGACTACCTTTCCAGCTTTGTACTTATTGTGACTTTAGAAATCTCAAGACAGGAATGAGGGTTTACTTCAATTATAGCATCCCATTTGAAATATCTGGTTTGCTTTTCTACTGGAAGGTTGACATTAAATTTATATATTAAATATATTTTTTAACATTTTAGAAACAAGTACTTCTAGAGAAAAAAATCGCTTATCATTTACAAAAAATGCAAAAGAATGACCTTAAAACAGAAGAACCAGAGAAGAATATATATAAAAACAAAGGCCCAGATGAAACACAAGGTAAGATAATGTAGCTAAGTAGAAGACGCATATTTATATATTAAATATTAGTGTCTTTATAAACCCCTCCCTCTGTTTTTACAATGAGATTACAAGGCCCTTGCAAAGGGAAGTTGTAGATGCTCATTTCCCCAGTGCCAGGCACTCTCCAAGGCACTCTCTCAGTTACACACAGTTTAAGCATGTACACACACACAACACAACAGATTTGTATACTATATATATATATATATATACATGCATTTGTGGTATATATATATAATGTACATGATACATATTAAATATAATATATACATTATATATATAATTATAATTATATGATGTAATTATAATATAATTAATAATAGATTAAATTCCTTACAAAGGCTGCCATACTGCAGGTTGAAAAGGGAGCAATAAGAGGAAACAGAACACACACAAAACAGATATCGGACGGGCAGCTGTGGCTCACCGCCTGTAATCTAGCTCTTGGGAGGCCGAGGCGGGCGATTGCTCAAGGTCAAGGATTCAAAACCAGCCTGAAGCAAGAGCGAGACCCGTCTCTACTATAAATAAAATAATTAATTGGCAACTATAATATATAAAAAATTAGCCGGGCATGGTGGTCATCCTGCGTATCCAGCTCCGGGAGGCGAGCAGAAGGATCATTGAGCCCAAGGAGTTTTTGAGGTTGCGTGAGCTAGGCTGACCGCACCAGCACTCACTCTAGCCCTGGGCAACAAAGCGAGACTCCTGTCTCAAAAAAAAAAAAAAAACAGAATCAAAGACAGAAGCAAAAAGATGGATATACATATAGAAGAAAATAAGCCAAGAAGAAAGAAGTTTAAAAAGAGAAGAGATAAAAAAATTATAATGATAACAACAAAGAAAATGTTAAAAAGGACCAATGAGAAAAAAATCACAAAGGACTGAGGAGACAAAGAGAAAAATAGGGAAAAGTTAAATGAGGAACCATAAAAAAGACTAACAAAATGAGAGAAAGAGAGAAGCTTGCAGTGAAAGAAGAAAAGATCCCTTTTGAGGGATATAAAAAAGACATTTTGAAAATATAAAACAAACAAAAAAGTAAGAACAAAGTTGAAAGGAGCGTAAAGAAAGATGTCAAAAAGAAGAATGAATGAATAAGGCGGAGAGAATAAGAGAGAGAAAGAAAGCAAGAAAATTGAACAGAAGCAACCAGTAGACTAACAAAGCCATACTCTGAAGAGGAGTGGGGAGCAGACAAGACAACAACAAATAGACCAAAAGAGATGGGTGAGAAGACAGAGAAAGGAGAAAGATAGCAGAGTGAAAGAAAGGAGAGCAGAAAGACACACAGAAAAAACATATGGAACAAGAAAGGGTAGAGAAAAGAAGGAAGGATAAGGAGAGAGGGAGTAAAAAGAAAGAAGTTTAAATGATAAGTCAGTACAAAAAAGTAAAAGAAGAAAAAGCACGAATATGAGAGTGAAGGAAAGAGAAGGAATTTGAGAGAGATCCAGTTAAAAACCAAAACATTAGGAGGAGGTACAGAAAGATTCAAAATGACAAGTCATTAAAAAAAATAAGAAGTTAGTAAAAAAAATTTAGATAAGCACGAAGATAGACTAGACTTTAAAAAGGAGAAAATAAGAAAAGGCAGTACAATGAAGATAGATGAAAGAAAAGAAAGACACAGTAGAAGGGGAAAATAGGAGAAAAACAAAATAATAAAAAGGAGGCAGTAAGAAGCAAAAAAAAATATAGATAAACAAAAGAGAAAGAGTGAAATAAAAAGGGGAAATAAACAAATGAAGAAGCAAAAAAAATCAAAATAGAATTTAAAAGGAGAAATCAGTAAGATAGTAAACAAAAGGAAAGATTTAAAGAAGAAGAATGTAAATCATAGGTAGACAGAAAATATGAACACTTTTAAGAAAGACTCAAAATAAGAAAATCAGTAAGGAAATACAGAAAAACATGAATAAAGACAGACAAGGAGGGGAAAGAGAGAGATAAAGAGACAGGAGATAAAGAGGCAAGTAAGATAATGTTTAAAGAGAAAGCAGTAAAAGACGGACAAAAAAGAGGAAATAAGAGGACCTTAGAAAAGAAAAGGAAAGCCAATTTTCCCAAAATGAATACATGGAAAAATAAAAGAAGCAAAGGGAGGATGGGAGGATGGAGGAAGGAGAGGCAAAGTAACAAGCCCAAGAGAAGAACTGAAAGAAAGAGCAAGAGTATGAGAAAGGAGAAGAGAAAGGACAGAGGAAAGTAGGGAGGAAAAAAGGAACTACAAAGAGAAATAGAAAGGGAATTGAAAAAAGAGCAGCCCAGTAACAAATAATTGGATGAGGGAGGGAGGTGGGTTAAAAGACAATTCACTAAATTAAAAAGTTTAAAGAGAGCCATAAAAATAATAAAGGGGGAAGAAGGAGGAGGAAAGGGGAAGAGAGAGAGGAGTGAATGGGACAGAGAAAAGGAGGAGGGAGATGAAGGAAAAGGGGAGGAATATGGAAGGAAGAGAGGTGGACAAGGAAATGGAGGAGGAAGGGGAGAGAGGGAGAGAGAGGGAGGGGAGAGGAGGAGGGGAGAGGAAGAGAGAGGGGAGATGGATATATGTTGAGGGAGGAGGAGAGGGAGGTAGGGGTAGAGAGGGAAGCGAGAGAGAGAAAGATGAACAGGTAAGTGGTGAGGATCTAGGGAAGGGAGAGAGGGGAAGACGAGAGGAAGGTGGGAAGAGGGTAGGTGGAGGACAGGAAAAGTAATGTAGGAGGAGGGGATGGAGGGAGAGAGAAAGAGTGAGGAACAAGGAGAGGAAGGATGGATGAAGTGAAGAAACTACAGAGAGAGAGAAGGGGGAAAGAAAGACAAAAGGAAGAAAATGAATGATGTGAAGAAAGGGAGAGTACAATTCCATAGGATAGTAGATAAACAAGTAAAAGGAAGAAGAAAGACAAAGAAGGGAGAAGGAGAGACCGGGAGAGGAAGGAAGGGAGGGAAATTTTGAAAGGATAAGTCATAAGAATGAATTAAATGAACAGGAAATGTGATGTGTGAGAGAGGTATTAAAAAGAGGAGCCAGTAAAAATCAGTACAATTGGTGAATGAGAAGGTTAAAAGAACTTCATCAAAATAAAATATTTGATAGATATAGACAGGGAGACAGATAGATAAGATCTGACTTAAAAGAAACCAGAAATAAAAGCAGTACCAAACAAAATATAGGAAACAGAGAGAATTAAAGAAAAATTTAAGAAAGGAGCCATAAAAAGTGAGTTTTAAAACGAAAGAAAAGAGGGCTGAGAAGGAAGGAAAGATGGAAAAGGGAAAGGAGAAGGATGAGGGAAGAGGAAAGAGATAGGAGAGAGAGGGAGGAAGAAGGAAGCAAGGCGGAATAGAAAGTGAAAAAGCCAGTAAACAACATTACAAAGGCATAAAATAGAAAGAGGTGGGGTAGACGTAAGAAGGAAGAACAAAATACAATTAAAGGGATGTACATCGTAGGAAAGAGTAAAGTAAAGGAGTAAATGAAAGGAGGAGATGAAGGGGAGTCTGTAAGAAAATCCAGTACAATAGGTGTAGGTGGGGGATGTTTTGAAAACCACCTAAAGGAGTTAAATAGAACGAGATGATTGATAGCTAAGTTAGATAGCAGAGAGCAGTAGATAGGTATCTGATAAGGCCTAAAAGGAAAGCCAGTAAAAAATAGGTCAGTAGAAATAGAAAGAAAGAAAGAATATTGAGGATAAAAAAAACAAAAACTTAGAACCACTAAGTTTAGAAATCAATATATAGGGGGGATTAAAATTAAAATTTAATATAAAAACACAGTAAAATAAACGACAGACAACAATACTGTAGAAGACTTAAAAGTAGAAGCCAAAAAAAAAGACAGCATAAAAGAACAGTTAGAAAAAAACAGTAGGAGAACAAGAAAGCAGTTGATAAATCAGAACTAGTAAAGAAATCACATGCATTGTGTATTGCTGTGGGTTTGCAAAGTTGAAATATAAATCATTTAAAATATAGTAAAATAAATGAGTACAATGACACCATCTGTGGGATGGACAGTGCTTGAGCCTGACGGAGGGAGGGGAGCAAGCACATATCAATAACCAAACATGATACCCCCATAATATGCTGAAAAATAAAGTAAATAAAGGTAGAGAATTATAGCTAGATAAGCCAGATAGGTACGGGTAGAACTGTAAAAAGCAAGTCATTGAAAAAGACAATACAAAATGAAAGGATGTTACAAGAGATAGAAAGATTATAAAAGACTTTGAAAACAGAACCGCAGTAAGATGAGAGTAAAGAAGGAAGGACAGGGACAGCGCAGAATGGAGGGAGAAAGACAGAACGGAAAAAGTAATGGAGAATGAGAAGAAGGAGGAAAGAGAGAGGTGAGAGGAGAAATGCATGCCAGGCAGGCTGACAAAGAAAACAAGAAACATTACAGAGACTGAGGGGAACTCTTCAAGAGATATACAGAAACGGGAAAGAGAAAGGAGAGAGAGAGGTGAGAGGAAGAAGGAAGAAAGGTCAAAAGTATAATCAGGACTGAGTAACTAGGAAAATGCAACATAAAAAAAGTTAGAGATAATCTGAGAGTGAAAGACAGAGGAAACATTTGAAGGAGAGCCAGTAAGAAAATTAAGTATATTGTGGAGGGCAGGGAGAAAAAAGAGGTCTAAATAGAAGAATCAATAAACATACAATAAAACAAGGATTGAAGTGCCTTGACAATAGAAGGTAGTTAGCCTACATAGACTAATAGATAGGCACATAGAATGGACTTTAAAGTAAGGCCAGTAGAAAGACAGTATTAAAATGATAAAAGGAGAAAAGTGAAGGAAGAAAAAGTTAAAAGGAGATAGAGAGAGAGAGAGATTAGTTTAAGAAAAAGGAAGAAAGGAGAGGGAAGAGAGAAGAAAGCAAGCATGTAAGCAAGCCACAAAAGAAAGATGAAGAAAGGCAGAGAGAGGAAGAGTAGTCCCAGGTACTGGGGAGGCTGAGGCAGGAGGATCCCTTGAGCCCAG